GCATTTCCCTTAAGAACAGGAACAAGGCCAGGATGCCCACTTTTGCCACTCTTATTTAACATAATACTGGAAGTCTTAGCCACAGCAATCAGACGGAAAGAATAAATAAAAGGGATCCAAATTGGAAAGGAGAAAGTAAAACTGTCATTATTCGCAGACGACATGATACTACATGTAGAAAACCCGAAAGACTCCACCAAAAATTTACTAGACTTAATAAATGAATTTGGCAAAGTAGCAGGATACAAAATTGACATCAAGAAATTGATGGCATTCTTATGAACTCACAGAAAGAGAAACTAAAAAACCATCCCATTTATTCTCGTGGCTAAAAAATTAAGCTACCTAGGAATAAACTTAACCAAAGTAATAATGGACCTATTCACAGAATACTGAAGGTCATTGGAAAAAAAAGTGGAGGAAGATATAAAAAAAGTGGAAGCACATACCTTGTTCATGGATTGGAAGAATTAACTTCATTAAAATGTCCATACTACCCACAGCAATCTATAGATTCAATGCAATCCCCATCAAAATACCAATGACATACTTCACAGAACTGGAACAAATACTTCAAAAGTTCATATGGAACCAAAAAAGACCTGGAATAGCCACAGCAATAGTGAAAAAGAAGAATAAAGTAGGAGGGATGACATTACCAGATTTCAGGTTATACTACAAAGCCCCTGTAATCAAACAGCCTGGCAATGGCACAAGAAAAGGCATATAAACCAGTAGAACACGTAGAAAACCCAGGAAATGGACCCAAGGCACTATCCTCAATTAATATTTGAGAAAGGTGGCAAGAGCATATAGTGGAGGAAAGACAGCCACTTTAATAAATGGTTTTGGGAAATTTGGACAGCTACATACAAAAAAATGAAACTATACCATCAACTTACACCATACACAAGAATAAACTCAAAATAGATAAAAGACTTAAACGTGACTCATGAATACATAAATATCCTACAAGAAACTGTAGGCAACAAAATTTCAGACATCATATGCAGCAGAATTTCCACTGATACATCACCTAAGGGAACAGAAACAAAGGAGAAAATGAACACATGGGACTACATCGAACTCAAAAACTTCTCCACAGCAAAAGATACAATCATGAAAATGGAAAGGCAACCCACTGTATGGGAAAGCATAACTGCCAATGATATATAAGATAAGGGGTTAATTTCCAATATATATAGAGTGCTCATCCAACTCAACAAAAGTAGGACAAAGAACCCAAAAAATGGGTTGAGGAACTAAACTGACACCTCTCCAAACAAGACATACAAATGGCTAAGAGACATATGAAGAAATGCTCAACATCACTAATCATCAGAGAGTTAGGGATGCAAATTAAAACAACAGTGAGGTACCACCTCACATCTGTCAGAATGACCGCCATCAACAAATCATCAAACAACAAGTGTTGGTGAGTGTGTGGAGAAAAGGGGACTCTAGTACACTGCTGGTGGGAGTGCAGTCACTCTAGAAACACATAGTCTCCCCAAACTGAACTGAATATGGTGTTACCTCAAAAAATTAAAAATTGAACTTCCATTTGACCTAGGTATCACACTTGTAGGAATATATCCCAAGAGGACTGAAACACCAATCAGAAAGAATATATGTACCCCATGTTTATAACAGCACTATTTACAATAGCTAAGATCTGGAAACAGCCCACATGTCCATGAGTAATTGAATGGAGAAAAATTCTGTGGTACATATACACAATGGAGTACCATGCAGCTGTAAGAAAGAAGGATCTCTTATCATTTGAGATGACATGGAAGGACCTGGAGAGTATTATCCTAAGTGAAACAAGCCAAACAGAGAAAGACAAGTATCATGTGATCTCTCTTATTTGTGAAATATAATGAACATAACAGTCTGAGGAATAGGGTAGTTCCAGAGACGTTGAAGTGGGGTACAGACTGACAATCTCCAGGAGAGGGGGTGGTGGGGGAGAGATGAACCACAGAACTTATATGCATGTATGCATGAACAATAAACATGGACAATAAAGGTGGGGACAGGGTGGGGAGGGAGGAGGAGGGCGAATCAATGGGGGAAAAAGGAGAAACATCTGTAACAAAAATAATTAATAACAAAATAAAAATAAAAAAATCTCAAAGTAAAGCAACTCTAAAGGATGTGTGTGAGAGTAACTCTAACTTCAGGTTGAGTTTGGATATGGAAAAAAATTACCTTGCATAAGTTTCATGTTTTGCTGAGCAAAGATTGAGTTGTGTGCAATTGCATTTTTATAGTGAATCAAATTAATCTAAACTCATGAGTATAGGTTTTGTGATGAAATAAATTAGGATAACATAGAGATCGTGGAATTATTGTAACAAATGAAAATATGACAGACATTACTCTTATATCTTGAGGTAGGCTAAATGCTTTTCTTTTAAGCTAGGCAACATGACAATGGCATATGAAATAATACAGAATGGTGTGTGACAATTCTCAGTTCTGTAATTTTTTAGTTGATCTGTTTGAATTCATAAGCAAAGTCCATTTTTCCATTTGTTTAACAAAATTGTATATGAAAAGGTATTACTTACTAGTAGGCACTTGCATATCCAAATGTCTAAATTCATTTTCTATTACCTATTTTATTGATAATAATACATTTTATTGGTAAGGAATCCAAACTTATGCCTAGAACAAATGACAATAACCTCTTCCACCTCCAAATTTCAGTATCTAGAATAGGGTCTGCTATACACATAGTCAACAAATAATTAGTGAGTTAAATTATATTAATTTCTGTGTTCAATAAAAGTAAAGCCAGAAAATAAACTCTATTTGAAAATAAATCTTTGAAAGAGTAGATAGCAAAAATTTAGATCCATTTTGAAAAAAAAATCATATCTGATTAATACACATTTAATATAAACCTAAAAAAATTATTAGCTATCCTCAAATGTGAGCAAATTTAAGGAATCACAATAGGGAAAGAATTAGAAACATAGGGTTTTACTTCTTGGCGATTATGACAGTTGGGAACATACCTAAGTCTCATGTATTTGCACTTCTTTGAGAATTGGCTCCTCACTCAAAGAATCAAGTTCAAACTTCATAGGGTGTTTCTGAAGATTCTTTTGGGGTTTAGTACATTCCAGCTACCCATGCCCACACATCCGGGTGTCTGCCAGGACCGCGCGCTCTTTTTCTTAGTTCATCCTGTACTTTATCAAGGACCCCTCCCTCCACCCTGTACATTGCCCACTGGGCTCTTTCGGTCAGTTCCTGTAAAGCCTCCCCACGTTTCAAGGTGCAGTTTAAGCTTCAGCGATTTCAGAAAAACTTCCCAGACCCCCTTTTCAGATGCAGTATCGCTCTCCCCCATTTTCCAAATCTCTACTCCAGCAAGTATCCCCAGACTATACTGCGACCAGGCTATTGGGGAGGTTTTTCAAGAAATTCCTGCGTCCAGCCCGTAGCACAGTGCATGGTACAAAGAAAATGTTCAATAAAGGTTTGTTGAAGTGAGTGTGAAGCCCTGAGTAGGGAAAAAGAAGAGCCTGTGGGCAGCAGTAAAGGTCCTTCATGACTTGAGGGGAGGCCCGTGGTGTAGCAGGACCCCGCTACCAACTCTAGACTGGCAGGAGAATATGGTGCAGCAGAAGATAAATGTACTTAGTTCTTTACTTTTACAGAGGGATCAGAAAGTTCTTCAACAGCTTTGGGCAAATCGTAAAGAGGTGGAGGTTGGGATGCCCAGTCTCCGGGCAATTCTAGACTCAGTTTTCATATCCTATTTTGAAAGTTTCGCAAATTCCAGTTCTAAAGTAGGAGCAGAGGGTGTAGAAGGTTTCACAATTTTCGCGCCCTAGGGACAGCTCACAGCATTCGGAACTTCGCCTCATTTATCCTTCTCACATCGCTCATAGCGGGGAATCTATGGAGCTCTCCAGACCCCCACATCCCAGTCGGTGCTGAGAACCACGGGTAGACCCAGTCTCAGCCGCTCCGTCCTTCAACCCTCTGGGAAAACCCTGCACAGGCGAGTGTGGGAGCTCCCGGCCCGCAGTAAGAGGCGGAATAGGGGCACAGTTGGACTACAGCTCCCAAGTTGCTCTGGAAGAAGTGCAGAGCGGTGAAGGGAGGCGAGGGGGCGGGGTTTGAGGTGGGGGTGGGTGGCAGGGAAACCCCGCCCCACCGCGCAGTAAAGACACAAAGCTTGACTATACAACCTCATTTAGAAAGTGGAAGTAAGAAGGTTTAGGTGGCAGGCCGGACGGGAGAAAGAACCAGAGGAGGGACAACCGCGTAGGTGGGAGGGGAGCTAGGCGAGGGTAGTGGGGGAGATCCGCGGGATAACTAGTTCTTCCACCCCGCCTGCTCTGGGGTCTCCACAGTGACCTGCTAGTAGTCGCTCAAAGCCCTGCTGCCTGATGGGCGTGTGGCCGGCACCGTGGCTCCCAATCCTGGTGCGGAATGAATGCGCGGAGCGGCACGGACGGAGGAGGGGCTGCGAGTGAAGTGAGGCTGGAGTAGCTAGGGCTGGAGCAGGGGAGGCTCCGACTCCCGACTGAGCCAGTGGAGTAGTGCCAGGCTGAGGCAATGTGAGGCGCGGGGGTACCTCAGAGAGTCCCCCAGTGTCCCGAGTGGGGCGGAAGCACGCGGGCTGGCCAGCGGAGAGGGCGGGCAGTGGTACTGCTGGGAGGAAGAGTGCAGACCGCGGGAGGCCGAGCCGGCGTTGGCAGAGAGATAGGGGCGTTCCCTCCCCGCAGGAGGAGCCTAGGGCTCCGTCTTCCCTCCCCCGCGCATCTGGTTCGCTTTAAACCCGGACTGCTCCGGTAGCGTAGGGGCTCCTGTGCTGGGGCCAGATAAAGGGGAACGACCCGGCCACTGCCCTCAGGACGGGCGGGCGGGGGAGGGCCGTGAGGTGGGTGGGGCGAGGGCGCGCGTGGCGGGGTACCGGGGAGCGCGCAGAGCCCAGGAGGGCGGCGGCGGCGGCGGCGGCAGCGGGTGGTGGCCGGGTAGTATACCTCCGATGCGCTTCGCGCCACCGGCCCACGCCGCAGTGTTTTTTGTGGACCGCATCTTCCTAGACAGCCCGGCAGAGCCCAGCTTGGCGCCTCCAGCCTTGGACGTGATGTTCCGCCGGAGCTTTAATCGCTTTGTAAGTACACGTGCTGCGGCCCCGCGCGGGCCAGTTCGCTGGCTCGTCACCCCTTCTGCTGGGTCCCTCAGAACAGTTTTCTAGGAGATAAGTGCATCTGTGAAAGACATTATCACGTCCTTTTAATTTTCACTGAAATATGCTGCCCTGGCGGCCACGGTGGAGAGGCAGCCCCCTCCCCCCCCCCCCCCCCGCCCCACCATCCGGGACGATTTAAGCGGGGATTGCCGGGGCCCTTACAAACTCCGCTTGAGACGGGGTGGGGGGCGCTTCGGGCAGGATGTTGGGGGACCGACCCAAGAGTCCCTTGGTTTGCCAATTAGTTGAAGATGGCGTTTTATTATCAGGGAGGTGTTTTTCTTTTGTTTCCTCTGCTTTGAGCACATGGAGATAAACGTAAACCTGTCTCCGTGGCCCAAAAGAAGACTTGGGGACTGAGGGGGCCTGAGGGAGCCTGAGGCAAGGGCAGGATTCAGTCTTGCCCGGGGCTCGGCCGGCCAGGCGGGTGGGTGGCTGACGATTGGAGGTTTGGCAGAATTTGGAAATCCAGACTAAAAAGCTCACCTTGACGGGCTGATAGAAGCCAGGGTAATTGTCAATGTGGACTGGGTGGATGTGGAGACCACTGGAGGCGCACAGCCTCTGAGGAGCGCGGCGTCTAAAGCCTCGCGGAGCACTCGATGCCCTAGGCATTGAACCCCTGAGAGGAGGCAGGCTGGACTCCTCCGCCCACAGTTATCCCCTTCCCAAGTCCCCAGAACCGAGAATTGGACATTGGGAAAAGTAATTTCTGCCTACTGACCTTTGAGTAACCTGTTTTACTCCCAGAGAATACGTTAAGAATGGAGCAAAGCAGAGACCTTGACTTCCACGCTGCTATTTTATAGTGACTTCCTTAATTGCAAGATGAGGTGGCGGGAATAGGATTTGATGTCTGCCGATGATGTGAAAGAAGGGTTTGTCTTTAAGTTTAGATTTTTCTGTCCTAGAAAAAATGGTTGAGTGCTGTGCACTCCCAACAACACCTTCACAATACAGGTTTGAGAACTTGTCGATTTGGTTCATTTATTTTGTTTATTCCTGATCAAAGCATTGCTGACATTTTTTTTTTTTTTTTTTTATGGTCGGATGATTTTGCTCTTATTTTTTCTGCACTTGAAACTTTCACAAATGTACCATGGCTAAAAGAAAGACTTGTACACCCCCTTTTAGGATATCAGTATCACAAGAGTGCTGCGTTAATGTTTTCCTGAATGTTTACCTCACCCATAAACACGTCTTATGAAATTGGAGCAGATTATCTGTGGCACAGAACAGTATAGGTTGTACATATCAAGGATCTTGAAATTTATAGGAATTGGCTTGTATTTGATGCTTTGCTATAAAGCAAATGACTAAAATTGGTTTCTCACATTTAGCCTGAGAAGGTAAAATAATATTTTACTTCATAGTTCTATTTTACATAGATTTTTGTGATCTTGGTGTGTTGTTTGGGGGTGACTAAAAGGGAAAGGTGACAAAAGCTAACTAATATTTGGGAAAAGGATAATCTTTTCACATGGCACTATTATTGTGGAAAGCAACTGGCCTCAGGTTCATAATAAAATTCATTATCTTACAATTAAGATGTTGACATCTTCACTTTTTTTTAGGATTTGAACATTTGAAACCAAACAGCTGAAGTATTGGTCTAAAAGCCCCCTTTGCTTTTCTTTTGCTAAGAGTGAATGAACTGCATTGCATCAGAGCAGTAATTAAGCTGTGTTGGCCCAAGAAGCCAGGACATGCAGTAAAATTTGCAGCAGTTCTTGAGATGCCAACCTGCAGATTTGAGGCTAGTATTTTGGATCCCCAACCAAGCTCTTTCTGTAAAGAATCACTTAAGCTCACACTAAAATGAGCTTTGACCTCATTGTTTCAGCTGGAATACCTAACTGCTCATAGTTTCCTACACAGTCATGGCTATGGTGAGTCTTGGAATTTCTACCAGTGCAGTAAACTAGAAGATTCTCAGGAGTTGTATCTGAAGCCTAGAACAAGGAATTAATCTGCAAACTATTGGATTGAATGTGAAATATGCTATCGAATACTTGTTGCTAAAGAATGACTTCAAAATTTTCTGGGACCAAATTTTATCTCCTTTAAATCAGGAAGCCACATGTCCTCCTCTTTTGCCTGGTAGAGATTATTTGAGGGGCAGTACCATTTACATCACTATATGGCTACCATTAAAGAGTTAGATTGGATTTTGAGACTTACACAGCATTGCAATCCAAGTTGTGTGCTGTTTTATGATTGCTTTTATATTTCAGAGATGGAGCTGTGAATTCTTAACAAAAATTAAGTGTTTTTTTTTGTGTATATCTAAAGTCTAAAATTGACTTTGAATGTGAAATGACTTATGGTGATGTTTGTAGTTATTGGTCACTGAAAACTAGATACTACATGTTAGGATAGGGCTTTATATTTTAAATTTGACATAGGAAGTAAATATCTCTTCAGATTAGTGTCATCTGTGGTTTGGTAGTGTTTGTTAAATCATTTTAAAAAGGCCATTTATTTCCACAAGTATCTACAATTTCAAGCTAAAAGAAGTAGTGATTCAGAGACTTTCCATCCTAGAACCATGGCCTAGTTTGTCTGTGACCAAGATCCCCCCCACCCACACACACATGCAAGCATGCTGGTAAAGATGCTGTGATTTACTCTAAGCCTTGATTGGCCACATTTTGGCACTATACCATGGATGAGCTGGCTCCTCCAACCCCTGCTGAGATCCCTATAGCTATTCTGAGCTTGAAAAAAAAATAGTCTCTAGTGCTCAAACAGGTATCTTCAAACAACTTACAGTTAAGGAAGCTCTGATGAATGGGTTGGTGGCCACTGAGGTGAGGATGTGGTTTTATGTTGGCGAGCTCATAGGCATGCATGGCATAATTGAGTATAATATTTGAAAACCAATCTTGAACATCTATTCTTTTTGGTTTATTAATTGAATGTTCTTGGACCATGACTATTTGAATGGCATAGTATAGAATGGTATTTGAATAACAAAGATATGTAAAAAAAGAAAAAAGAAATAGTGACTATCTGTATTTTCTAAAGTCTTGGCTTTGATGTCTTTGCCATTGATAATTGTTTTCTTTCCTTTCTGATGAATTGTGACATCCCTTTTTACAGTTTTGAGGTAGAAACTGGTGGATTTGGTGTAGGATTTTAGGATTTAGGCATGTAAGAGGTGTCTTAAAGGATTTAAGAGTTAGATGCCTTGCCCAGCGGATGTGGCTCAGTGGATTGAGCATCTTCACATGGACTGAGAGGTCCCAGTTTGATTACTGGTCAAGGCACAGGCCTGGGTTGCAGGCTCAATCCCCAGTAGGGGGTATGCAGGAGGCAATTAATCCATGTTTCTCTTTCACATTGATGTTTCTATCTCTCTCCCTTCCTCTCTCTCTAAAATAAATAAATAAAAACAAATTTAAAGAAAAGAGTTAGATGCCTCTGAGTGTGATAAAAGCCCTGCCTGTTCCCAGTTAACATCTTCATTCTCCATAAATTTATTAATTAAAATAAATAATAGTAGCTTTGTTTATACAGTTTATTTCCTTTAAAGGCCTGTTTAATCGAAGGTCTAGACTAGTTAAGACTTCAGGTTAAGGGACTTTTATGTTATCCTGTCTTTTACTTTTCATAAAATTCCTAGTGATTGCAGTAGCATTTTCACATGGGTTTAAAGATATAATGAGAACATAAACAAGAAGAATTCTCCCCTTTTGACTTATTCCATTATTTCATGCTAAATCCTATGTAAGGTGGGAAACTTATTTAGGAATGACTTACTTGAAATGAATATTTATTTATCATTGAACTGTTTGTATATTAAATAACCTGAAAACAAGTTTTTTTGTCCCCAGATCTGCCTTTTACTGATTAAGCAACATAAAACTCTGAATCTCTTCCAAATACCTTATATAAGAGTGTACTGTTTACTCCTTCTGTTTATGATTATTGCTCATAATTCATCCTTTTAGTGCATAATATTGAGTGCCTATTAATCAGGTAGTTTTCAGTGCTCTTAATGAATTTTTAGCAGAGGTAAAATTTAGGCAGATGAAATGAAATTGGCCATTTTCATATTGATACAACTGTCCAACCGAGCTCATTTCCTTACCTAGGCTGCCAGTTGGCCATCAGCTGGGCTGTGAGTTCTGGGATGTAAAGGATGGTCAGTGGCCCCTGGGAGAACTATTACTAACCCCCACCCTGTGTCTGGATGATATGCAAAGAACTAGTCCATGAGTGATTTCAAGTACTGGTTTGTTGAGTGATGGAAAAAAAACTCATCAAGGCTGACTGCTTGCCTAACATGGTTCTCCTAAAGAGGGTGAAAGCATGGGACTCAAAATTTCTGTATTTTCATTGAGGTAGTGGAGTTTACTGTACATCTATAGTACTTAATATGGATTAATCTTTTGATTCTGGAGTCCTTGAGATTGGGGGCTAATTTTCTAGTTTGGTGGAGGGAGGTCCTGGGCTTCTATACATGAATTCGTTTTTAAGTTCGTTTCCATTTACTTAACACTTACCTTCTTGGGTGGTATAACAGTAGATCAGGGGTGATTATAAAACAAACATTAACATGACTTCAGCATCTGTTAACATTACTGCAGTTTAATGATGAATGAGTGCTCAACACTGCAGATAAGGGCGTGGGATGCCCTATGCCAGCACATTGGAAGACAGCCACTCAATTACTGCGGTGTATGGATGGATTGTTGGTTTGGCTGACTTCTTGATTATCTGTGGTTTACAGATAATGTTGGACCACAGATATCCAGATATGTCGTCGATTTTTTTGCATTGTTTTTATCTAATAGAATATGGGAAGATTGCTGGGGCCTACCCTATTTAAGCAGGTATTATTTGTTTTATTAGGCTCTTCTATTACATGTTTTCTTAAAGTATTATGGTGGCTGTATTTTCCTACTCTCTTCCTCTTC